TGTTGTTTTGTACGTGAGCATTTCGAATCTTCTGCAATGACCCTAGAAGAGGCAGGTCGGAATTTAGTCATGTTATGTAATAAAACAGTGCCCGGATGAAACGGACTACAGGTCTTGAATTCCGGATTCATACCAATACTAAGACGACGCTAGATGAACGACAGTAAATACTGCTCAGTGAACGATGAATGTATGCAATAACACATCATGCCTCGTGATCCCCTCTAAAAAGACGACGAAGACTGCTTGATTAAGCAAGAAGGCCATGAGAGGGGTGCCAACTTCCATCTTTGTAGCATGGCTACACAATTTGAAGGAGAAAAAGCCATAAAAATTTGTAGGAAAGGTTAAATGGGAAGAAAAGAGTAAAAAACAACACTGTAAGTGCTACATGTGCTCCTTACTTCCCCAACGAGCACACTGCAGTGCTACAATGCGTGTTGGCGTATTTGTTATTGCATTGTGCGAGGTAAAAAGCCCTTTCAGAGCTCGCATTACTACATGTTTTGTCCCCTTACTTTTCTGGAGAGCATCACGAGGTTGTGGACGGTTTCGCAACTATAACCTGAATTAATCCAGAATTCAGGCATCATGATAAAGTAGATCTACTATCCCAAGATGCGTGACCCCTCACCTTAAGACGATTATCATAGCCGGTAAAAGGGTTGATATATAAGTCAGTCTTACGAATAAGACTGGAATTCAATGAAGCAATGACGTCATTTATGCACTGAGTTTAGTTCTCATATAAAACGTTAATATTTATGAACCCGTTAACCGATCGTTCTACTGACTCAAACTTTTCTCCAATTCTTTTTCATCACTTCACGAGATCTGATTCATCTCAAAACTTTCACCTACATAGATACTAAGATAGACTCTATTCTCAGTCGTATATAACAGCCCAGCAGCTAAAATCTCCGGAAGATATGCAATGTATCTGATTAAACAGTGAACATTGCGGGGATCATGCACATGATTCCATCTCACGGTATCTGCGCAATCTAATAGAACTAGGGAATTCTACGTTTGTGTAAGAAGGCCGGTACGCATTGATATCAGATTTAGCGAACCCTTATTACACAAAATTAAGTAGCATGCAACATCGCAACTTTTAATCTAACACGCGACATCGATGCATGCAACTTAAGCGTTGATGCAACACATCAAAATTAAACACACCAAAATTCGCAGCGTACTCCACAACAGGTTTATCCAGTCCAACTTACGCTATTTCTACTGCGATTCACCAGTCACACTATAGCCTGAAATTATTCATAATATAAACGGCTTTTAATAAATTAACAATGTTAAATAATAATTTAAAACATATGCTGTTACGATATTCAGATTTAAAACAAACAGAGTAGGAAAGTGAATTAAAATATCGATCAGAGCTGATATATCGGTCACCTCTAGATTCGCACTGTCCCCATGCTTCGAATAGCCTACGGGATCGTTTAAGCAGGCCGCGCGCGCGGTATTTCCTATTAGAATTTACGTATCACTGGACAGTTTTGCCGAAAGGAATTCCCGCTAGTCTTTCAGCCTAATGTCGGCAGATGATTGTTCATACGGCGCAAGTTTGCGTAATAAGTTCAACCCATAAACTGTCCGAAGTTCATCTGCTATCGACGTCTGCTAGGTTGATTCACTTGGCAAAGGGCCAAACTAGAATTCGAAAAATTACAGGTTCAAGTAACTCGCTGGGTTACCTGCCTTTCGCTAGTGCGCCGTAGATAAACATGTACGACCCCATTAGTTATGCGAACGATCAGTGCTGTCAGGCTGAAACATTCGCATAAAATAAAATAAAATACTTTAAAATTATCCCCGTGTCTGTGACTGTAACCACTGAATTCATACAATTTCCAAAAACATTTTATCACTAAAATTAGGTTATCAGCCCTAACTATTAACTTACAGACAAGTGAAAGCAAAGGAATGATGTGACTAGCAAGACAAGTCGGGAGAAGTGACAGGAGATTTCAATTCTTATCAGCAATATCGAAAACTAGCAGTTTACCAGTAAACCCATAATCCAAGGGTTAATTTGTACAGCATACGCCTACGGAATGAGGTAAATTCATCAGCGTTAAAACATATTTTCGTTCGACCCAAGAAAAAGATAATATTCTTCACCAATCCACTACAGGTGCTAAAATGCCATGGAGCCGCAGCCTGCTAAACTGTCCTGGTAGGCTACTTGAACCTAGAGGGCTGTATGACTACGAAATGTAAATCCGAAAAAGCCACTAGAGGAGAACTTTAACCATACTTACTTTATTTATAATTCTGCATTTACGCAAAAAGCAAAAGAATAGTTTTCGCTTACTTTGCCTTTCAAGTTGTTATGCACCTGAACGACGTAGCCCAGTCCTTCCAACAAGCTGCGCATGTTGCGACAATCTGTATCGGTTCCAAACCGCTCTGGCAACCTACAGTGAAATACCCGATTGTTGATGATTAACGCGTGGCCTTTTGGTTTGCTCAGGTGACGATAGAACTAAACGAATGCATAATCATCAGAGTTAGAGTATCATGCGATAGACGAGCGAGTACTCTGTACTTTAAAGAAACGACTATCAACGAAATGGTCATAATTTGTTCATGCATTGATAAACAAAATTTAAAGCATTATGCAAAAAGACAAGGGTCTGAACGCCATTCATACAATTAATTCCTCGATTTAAGAACTTTAGTCATAACGAATCATGGAAATTTGAAAGTCTACTGTTTAAACGAAGTCACAGTAGAACATCGATTTCAGCACTGAACTATGTAATCATGAACGACAACGAAACATGGTAAGGAAAGGAAAGTTATGGCATCGTTATCACAGTAAAACAGCTACATCGAAAGTGAACTACGTTACTTTGAGCATCGCCAGATATTGCTGCCTCACTGTACTGAAATCCCTGAAGATGCGTGCTGTCGCTGAGACAGTGGTCCTCCGGTAAAGCACAGACCGCGAAGCGATGTTCACAACATAAATCTGGTGCTGATGGTGCGCGGAAAGCTCTGAGCGAGGTAACCGTGAGGCAGATGGACCGGGCAACTGAGGACTGTGTTGCTCACATGGGTCTTGCGATGCTGCTGATTCAGCCAGTTCAAACGCAAAGTTATTTAACGGAAGACCACTAAGTCTAGCGACAAGCTTTAGTGACAGGAAGATGACGACCGTTGGGCAGGTGTACTGGGGAAGGATGCATGCATATGAAGATGCCATAATCTCCATGCTCGGAGCATGCAAACACCTTAGTCTTTTCACAGAGAACGCTGCTGTGCAATAACGATTCATCACTGATTGAACATGCTGGTGCCAGGAAGAATCAGATGACAGAGCGACTACCCAGTATACGATGTGCTATACTTCGGCTACTGTCAGGCCAGCAATTTCCAGAGCCTCTGTCAATAGATCTATGTGTCTAGTTTCATGTGCTGTGCATCACTCAGATTTATTCCTAAATTCCTAGGATTAAGGTGAAGTAAGTGTAGATGGTAGATATGTCATCCGTGTAATAATCCCAATCTTCAGGAATACTCAGAGAACTCAAAACGAAGTGTCATCAATCATATCTGGCACATGTGATGCAGTAATTAGTAAAAATTTTGAACGACAGGGGTAAAAAGACCGAGCCCTACTCATGTTGTTTCGTATTAGATCTGACCTTTTCCGGCCGAACTTAACAAACCAACTACAACGGTTGAACTAGTTCGCAAGCCACCATATGATGCAATGATCGATATCTGGTGCACACAGTTTGTGCAAGTTTTTCACGAGGAACCATATGAGGGGAAAGCCGACGACAAATCGAGGAAAAGTGTTCCTGGACTCA